GTTCAAACACACCAGAAGAAGTTGTTATTTTAGCCTTGTATTCTTGTGTTGTTAACAAAAAAGATTCCATAGATTTGTATCATGTATATTGATGTTTGCTTGTCTCCACGTGGCGGGCAGCCAACAATCTCAACAAGAAGACATTGAAACAAGATTCAACTTTTGAATGATTATTCCTTCATGCTCGGTAATGACTAGTGATGACGATGTATATGTGTCTGTATTTGCCAGGTGGTGTGTATCTGTCGTTATTAATGACTCAGTGATATTGACGATGTATGTCATATGTCTGTATTTGCCAGGTGGTGTGTATCTGTCGTTATGTGAATGACTAGTGATGACGATGCATTATTGTCTGTATTTGCCCAGGCGGGGTGTGTTATTAATATCTGTCTGTTATTAATGACTAGTGATGACGATGTATGTCTGTATTTGCCAGGGTGTATCTGTCATATGTTGCTAGGATGACGATGTGTGTCTGTCGTTATGTGGGTGTAATGACTAGTGATGACGATGTATTATGTCTGTATTTTTGTATCTGTCGTTATTAATGACTAGGTGTGTATCTGTCGTTATTAATGACTAGTGATGACGATGTATTATGTCTGTATTTGCCAGGTGGTGTGTATCTGTCGTTATTAATGACTAGTGATGACGATGTATTGTGTCTGTATTTGCCAGGTGGGTGTATCTGTCGTTATTAATGACTAGTGATGACGATGTATTATGTCTGTATTTGCCATCTGTCGTTATTAATGACTAGGATGGATGTATCTGTGCCAGGTGGTGTGTATTATTATTAATGACTAGTGATGACGATGATGTATTGTGTCTGTGTGTGAATTTGCCAGGTATTGGTGTGTATCTGTCGTTATTAATGACTAGTGATGACGATGTATTATGTCTGTATTTGCCAGGTGGGTGTGTATCTGTCGTTATTAATGACTAGTTATGACGATGTATTGTGTCTGTATTTGCCAGGTGGTGTGTATCTGTCGTTATTAATGACTAGTGATGACGATGTATTATGTCTGTATTTGCCAGGTGGTGTGTATCTGTCGTTATTAATGACTAGTGATGACGATGTATTATGTCTGTATTTGCCATGTGGTGTGTATCTGTCGTTATTAATGACTAGTTATGACGATGTATTGTGTCTGTATTTGCCAGGTGGTGTGTATCTGTCGTTATTAATGACTAGTGATGACGATGTATTATGTCTGTATTTGCCATGTGGTGTGTATCTGTCGTTATTAATGACTAGTGATGACGATGTATTGTGTCTGTATTTGCCAGGTGGTGTGTATCTGTCGTTATTAATGACTAGTGATGACGATGCATTATGTCTGTATTTGCCAGGTGGTGTGTATCTGTCGTTATGAATGACTAGTGATAATGACTAGTGATGACGATGTATTATGTCTGTATTTGCCAGGCGGGGTGTATCTGTCGTTATTAATGACTAGTGATGACGATGTATTATGTCTGTATTTGCCAGGCGGGGTGTATCTGTCGTTATTAATGACTAGTGATGACGATGTATTATGTCTGTATTTGCCAGGTGGTGTGTATCTGTCGTTATTAATGACTAGTGATGACGATGTATTGTGTCTGTATTTGCCAGGTGGGGTGTATCTGTCGTTATGAATGACTAGTGATGACGATGTATTATGTCTGTATTTGCCAGATGTATTATGTCTGTGGTGTGTATCTGTCGTTATTAATGACTAGTGATGACGATGTATTGTGTCTGTATTTGCCAGGTGGGTGTGTATCTGTCGTTATTAATGACTAGTGATGACGATGTATTATGTCTGTATTTATTTGTCTGTATTTGCCAGGCGGGGTGTATCTGTCGTTATGAATGACTAGTGATGACGATGTATTATGTCTGTATTTGCCAGGTGGGTGTATCTGTCGTTATTAATGACTAGTGATGACGATGTATTATGTCTGTATTTGCCAGGTGGTGTGTATCTGTCGTTATTAATGACTAGTGATGACGATGTATTATGTCTGTATTTGCCAGGTGGGGTGTATCTGTCGTTATTAATGACTAGTGATGACGATGTATTATGTCTGTATTTGCCAGTCGGTGTGTATCTGTCGTTATTAATGACTAGTGATGACGATGTATTATGTCTGTATTTGCCAGGTGGGTGTATCTGTCGTTATGAATGACTAGTGATGACGATGTATTATGTCTGTATTTGCCAGGTGGTGTGTATCTGTCGTTATTAATGACTAGTTATGACGATGTATTGTGTCTGTATTTGCCAGGTGGTGTGTATCTGTCGTTATGAATGACTAGTGATGATTATTAATGTAGTGATATGTATTGTGTCTGTATTTGCCAGGTGGTGTGTATCTGTCGTTATTAATGACTAGTGATGACGATGTATTGTGTCTGTATTTGCCAGGTGGTGTGTATCTGTCGTTATTAATGACTAGTGATGACGATGTATTATGTCTGTATTTGCCAGGTGGGGTGTATCTGTCGTTATGAATGACTAGTGATGACGATGTATTATGTCTGTATTTGCCAGGTGGTGTGTATCTGTCGTTATTAATGACTAGTGATGACGATGTATTATGTCTGTATTTGCCAGGTGGTGTGTATCTAGTGATGTCTGTTATGTCGTTATTAATGACTAGTGATGACGATGTATTGTGTCTGTATTTGCCAGGTGGGGTGTATCTGTCGTTATTAATGACTAGTAATGATGACGATGTATTATGTATCTGTATTTGCCAGGTGGTGTGTATCTGTCGTTATTAATGACTAGTGATGACGATGTATTATGTCTGTATTTGCCAGGTGGGGTGTATCTGTCGTTATCGAACTTACAGAAAGTTTATGGTCGCCCATGCTGTAGAAGTTTATGTAAAAAATGTTATCTTTTGAGACCATCGTCGTATTTTAGCGTGTGTTTAGGTGTGGAATTTTACCATTGTATGTTGAAACGGGTAGATATACCAAGCCTTCTATACCACTTGAAGAGAGGTTATGTAAATATTGTAGAAATGCTTGTACATATTTATTGAAGATGAGTTTCACTTTTTGATCCAATGTACTTTTAAAACGACATTAGATTTAACCTTTTTAAGGCAGCTGCAGAAAGCACCGGTAACTTTAATCACCTTTGTGATGAGGATAAATTGTTTTATATGATGAATTCCGATGTTTTACAAAAAGAATTAGCAAATGAACTTTATAAAATGTTTAAGAGACGGCAAATGGCAGAATAATGTTAATCCTATATATACATTGTATATCTAATTTATGCATTTTCATTTATGGACTTATTTTATCCTGATTATTTTAAGAATACCCTGTTATTCTTTTTCTTTCTCTGATGTTGTTTCATCGAGGAGTTGTTGTTGTTATCAGTGTGTCTTATCTACAATCTGCCTAAATGTCTACCTTCCATATTCTATTCTATCATGTGTGTACCATTAATGTACTTATAATGTATTTATAGTGTCTCGTAATGGCTGGACGCACTGCCTTTAAACTGAATTATGAGATTCTGTATTTTACTGTAAATGTTGTGCGTGTGACACTTTAATAAACAACAACAACTACTACTACTACTACTACTACTACTACTACTACTACTACTGCTGCTGCTGCTACTACTACTACTACTACTACTACTACTACTACTACTACTACTACTACTACTACTATTACTACTATTCGTAAACAAATAGCAGTTACAGGTTGCCCTAGTGTCCCGGTCCTCCTTGTATGCACAGCGGTCACTAAAAACGTCTTTGATGGATTGGGAAAGCTAATGCATGGTATTTTGAGTGATGATAGGTATGCCACCGTGCCACCACGTCAAGCTGGAAGACGTCCTCAGTGACTCTGGCATGGCGTCATTCACTCAGAGATTGGACACTGTCAACCAACCATAATTGAGTATCCATCGGTTTCTTTTAAAGGCATCCAGCTGTGCCCGGCAACACCTACGACTTCTTAAAGGCAACAACACGAGAACACACGGACCACAACTCTAGCTAGGGATCGGGTGATTGGGGCTGAGATTATAAGTGAGTGGATGTGTTCCCAGCAGAGGAAACGATTAACCCAAACCGTAGGGACAGCACACGTCTCCAACAGAGAGAGGATAAGTGTACAATGGATAAAAGAGTTTGGATGCATTCCAGGTCTCTCTCTTCATATTAATTTGCATCTATAAATATATTTCCATTTTAGTGAGAGTTGTTTACTGCTGAGATACATTAACAATTTGATATTCTGATATGTATTATACTGTATAGTGCCCCTGTGTCATCCCAGAGCACCGAACATTTCTAGCTATTATTTGAAGGCGATATTAAGACGTTAAATAGTCTATAATTTGTAAATCTGAAGGTGTTTGTTAGTCCTTCTCTAATGACTGATATCGATGTGTGTTTGTGTGTTTCTTGTTTAACGCCGCCCTCAGCAATATTCCAGCTGTATGGCGTCGGTCTGTAAATAATCGAGTCTGGACCAGACAATCCACTGATCAACAGCATGACCATCGATCTACGCAATTGGGATACGATGACTTGTGTCAACCAAGTCAGCGGGCCTGACCACCCGATCCCGTTAGTCGCCTCTTACGACAAGATATGGATATATGACGTGAACGCCAGGGGCTAACCAGTCTCCATTACCAAGATTCCACTGGGTGTTAAAGGCGAAAGGTGGAATTATATAATGAATGGACAACTATTAAATCACAGATTGACATAGATGACTAATCTTATTTCAAAATACATAACTACCCGCCAAACAAATATATACACAAATGGGCGAGTTACTCATCAGGAAAGTATTTCAGATGTATCAATAGTTGTTCACTTTACGAGGAATGAAAACCAGATTACGCTCAGTGCTGGTACTATCTGAGTGAGAAAAACAGGGACACGAACGAAATATATAACACAACCATATTTTGTTCTGAGTTTATTTATATTATAGTTATCCTCATTCTGTTTCAGATGGGCTAAACCAACCAACACTTATCTGATCCTAGAGATGGCCACGAATAATACAACAGGAGGCCCCCACTTCTCCAACGTCAGCTTATTGACAACGCAAGTTGACAGCCGCCTGGGTTGGGAAGTCAAATCTGTGTACAGTGACGTCAACATGACATCACAAACCACACCAGTGACGTCAAACGAAGAATATACGTATACCCTAACTGTTATCGACAATGTGGAAAGATATTACATGTGGTTTATACTGGTACTTGGTTTCCCTGGCAACCTAGCGAGCATAGTGACCATCCTGAGAATGTCACGGCTGAAGTCAGCGACATTTTACGTGGCCGTGTTAGCGACTGTAGACAACACTGCTCTCATACTCAAGACAGTATTCATGGAACTGCTGCACCAGCCTCATGCGTTCTCAACTCCTGGCTGCAGGTTCATGTGCTTCTTTGGACTTGTCACTGCTGCTTTCTCCAATTGGTTACTGGTTGCCATGGCGACAGAACGTTTCATGGCTGTCAGATATCCTATGAAAGTAGCCAGCATCTGGACTTTGCGTCGCGCTCTGGTTCTCACCGCCGTCCTATTTTGCCTTCTTTCTGTATTACATCTGCATATTTTCTGGACAATGGTCAACGCTGTCCATGGCTGCAGCTACTCCCCCGACTACAGCCACTTCACCATGGACACGTGGTACTGGATCAGTGCGTCTGCCTACGCCTTCATCCCCTGCAGCGTGCTCATCATCTTCAACTTGCTCATCGTCCACAATATTCAGAAGTCGTCAAAACTTCGCCGACAGCTGACAGTAGAGAGAGACGTCTCCTTCAAACCACAGCGGATTTCTGGTAACCATGACATGCAAATAACCATCATGCTGATCAGTGTGACCATCGTGTTTGTCATACTGACCATCCCTCGCTGTGCCGTCATGCTCATCATCACAGGCGATCCCCTCAATCCCCCTTGGAGCAGGTGCGACATCGTCTTGTGGACGTGCTCACCTCCATGTTCGCAGACTCCAACCATGCCATCAACTTCTTCTTGTACTTCTTCGCGGCTAGGCAGTTCCGGTTGCATTTCGTCAAGGCGGTTTTCGGTCAGCGACGCGGCAGCATCTACATTACCTACACCAAGAGGTCATCGACGGTGAGAGAGGATGAACTCCCAATGAGCATTTGACCCCAAGCTGTAGGGCGTTGCCCCTAATGTACCCCTATGTCTGCAGAGGTCAACGCTCCAGTCACATACAGTGAAACCTGATTGAACCAAACTGACAAATAACGAGAATGTCGCTGAATACAGACGAACGCCGTTCCCAACTGTAACCCCAGGATGCTGGTTTTCCAAAAGTGATGGGATTTTACTGTACCTCCCTGATATCAACATATGCATGAGATAAAACCCTCCACAATCATAAGAAATATAAACATCTTTCAACTGTCATTCTGAAATGTAGATCAGGACTAATCATTTAGATTCTGCAAACACTGTTTGAAGGTGAACTCACTGTATTGTCACAGTCTTATGGAGACTATCAGATGTACGCCAGCTGGTGCTAACAGATGGACTCAAACCGCCACGTGGGGGTACAGGGCAGGCAGTTTGCTGAAGGCGGAAGATTATAGAAACATACAGATGTCAATCTTGACTGGTGCGATTGGAAATCTTCATGCAAGGCAGGAATACAAACATACAGACATACAGATGTACAAACATACAAAACGTACAAAGTGAAAAAGAAAAAGCGATCAAGTATGAATAGGAGGCTTAATTTATGAGTCCATTCATATAAAAAACATTTGCCGTATTTAAATACATATTGGGCATTTGTTATGTAACATGTTTTTAGCCAAACATAACAGCACTGTTTTTTGCAAGCAAATGAATCGCCGTGAAAACAGATATCTTCATAGGCTTACCCTATAGAGTTGTAGATGTGTGCTAGACGTGGTGTGTGAGGCTCGTCATGGTGTATCCCCACGTTCTCCAGGCTGACAGGAGTCTGTCTCCAGCACACCGATAGGATGATTTATAGACAAATAATACCACAGACCTGAGGAGGTGTCCCAGTTACATTGACTTGACGATGTGTAGACAAAGCAGGAGAGGAATGTCCTAGTCACAGTGATCACACGTTGTGTCGAAATTAACACCACAAAACTGAGGTGTCACAGATACATTGACCCGATGATGTGTAGACAACATCACAAAACTGATGTTTCACAGATACATTGACCCGATGATGTGTAGACAACATCACCGAACTGAGGTGTCACAGATACATTGACCCGATGATGTGTAGGCAAGATCACAAAACTGAGGTGTCACAGATACATTGACCCGATGATGTGTAGACGACATCACAGAACTGATGTGTCACAGATACATTGACCCGATGATGTGTAGACGACATCACAGAACTGATGTCACAGATACATTGACCCGATGATGTGTAGGCAAGATCACAAAACTGAGGTGTCACAGATACATTGACCCGATGATGTGTAGACGACATCACAGAACTGATGTGTCACAGATACATTGACCCGATGATGTGTAGACAACATCACCGAACTGAGGTGTCACAGATACATTGACCCGATGATGTGTAGACAACACCACAAAACTGAGGTGTCACAGATACATTGACCCCATGATGTGTAGACAACATCACCGAACTGAGGTGTCACAGATACATTGACCCGATGATGTGTAGACAACATCACAAAACTGGTGTGTCACAGATATAGTTGTCTGATGGTGCACTGAGGAATACACACCACAGACGTGTGTCGTTCCAGATACAATCAATATTGACAAACAGCAGCACGGACGTGCACAGTGATTTTTACAGTGTCAGATAACACCAAATAAGTGAGGTTACAGTGATCTTATGAAGTGCAGATAAACAACACCACAGAAGTGAGGTGTTCAGGTTACAGTGATCTTATGATGTGTAGATAAAAAACACAACAGACGTGAGGTGTTCAGGTTACAGTGATCTTATGATGTGCAGATAAACAACACCACAGAAGTGAGGTGTTCAGGTTACAGTGATCTTATGATGTGCAGATAAACAACACCACAGATGTGAGGTGTTCAGGTTACAGTGATCTTCTGATGTGCAGATAAACAACACCACAGAAGTGAGGTGTTGAGGTTACAGTGATCTTATGATGTGTAGATAAAAACACCACGGAAGTGAGGTGTTCAGGGTTACAGTGATCTTATGATGTGCAGATAAACAACACCACATAAGTGAGGTGTTGATGTGCTGATAAACAACACCACGGAAGTGAGGTGTTCAGGTTACAGTGATCTTATGATGTGCAGATAAACAACACCACAGAAGTGAGGTGTTCAGGTTACAGTGATCTTATGATGTGCAGATAAACAACACCACAGAAGTGAGGTGTTCAGGTTACAGTGATCTTATGATGTGCAGATAAACAACACCACAGAAGTGAGGTGTTCAGGTTACAGTGATCTTATGATATGCAGATAAACAACACCACAGAAGTGAGGTGTTTGTGTTACCATGATCTTATGATGTGCTGATAAACAACACCACAGAAGTGAGGTGTTCAGGTTACAGTGATCTTATGATGTGCAGATAAACAACACCACAGAAGTGAGGTGTTCAGGTTACAGTGATCTTATGATGTGCAGATAAACAACACCACAGAAGTGAGGTGTTCAGGTTACAGTGATCTTATGATATGCAGATAAACAACACCACAGAAGTGAGGTATCTCACCTGGTAATTTACAACAGACAACTGAAGTGTCACAGTTACAGTGATGTTTTGTGGTAGCCAGACTATACACACGCGCTGTCACAGGCGGTACGACGAGGGTTTGTTCAGGGAGCTGTCACAGGCGGTGCGACGATGGTTTGTTCAGGGAGTTGTCACAGGCGGTACGACGAGGGTTTGTTCAGGGAGCTGTCACAGGCGGTGCGACGAGGGTTTGTTCAGGGAGCTGTCACAGGCGGTATGACGAGGGTTCGTTCAGGAGCTGTCACAGGCGGTGCGACGAGGGTTTGTTCAGGGAGCTGTCACAGGCGGTACGACGAGGGTTCGTTCAGGAGCTGTCACAGGCGGTACGACGAGGGTTTGTTCAGGGAGCTGTCACAGGCGGTACGACGAGGGTTCGTTCAGGGAGCTGTCACAGGCGGTACGACGAGGGTTCGTTCAGGAGCTGCCACAGGCAGTATGGTGAGGGTTCGTTCAGGGAATTGCCACAGGCGATATGGCGAGGGTTCGTTCAGAGAGTTGCCACAGGCGATATGATTTGGTTATTGAGATGTCACAGCTACGGGTGATCGAACGAAGTGAACACATAACGCCAGCCACGTGACTTAACGACTGTTGACGGATAACCCGGAGGGTTGATAAGCGTTGACTGAGAAGTAACGATATATCACAATTCATCGGGTAACATTTCTAACGCGGTATGTATTGTGAAGGGAAGTGTGGTTGTGAAGCGTGAAACGTTGCATACGTGTATGTCCAACGGAAGGGTGGTGTGTATTCAAGGAGCTAACTGGACTTTAATGTCCGACAACTGATGTCTCATTACCCCACGGAAGAGTGGATCGCGGGATCTGACTGGACTCTACCTTCACAGGCACACACACTACCGTTGACTCGTTGTGCTCAATGCTTACTTTTATATTGAAGTTTGAAGTTTTAATACAGTATGTGCATATGTTTCTGATATTCGTCGATGGTTGTTGTATATGTTTCTGATATTCGTTGATGTTTTTGTGTACGATTTGTTATTCGCATTTCTGGGAACAATTATATAGAAAAGAATAAATGATATGTTCTGAGCTTTATAAAGAAAACATTCCTTAAAGACAGTGCAATAATGCCATAATCCAGTTTCACGTTGACGCACTTTTGCAGTGTTAACAGTGTTAGACTGATTTGTTTACTGAGGCATCGTCAAGTCGCAAGAGCACACGCCTTCTCAGACTTCCGCGTCGCACAGTCTGCACGTCCACCATATTATATAAGCCACTTTAATCGTGTGGAGGTTTGGAAGATAATAATGATATCCCTCGGTGTCCTCGGGGCTGTCCTGCTGCCTACAGCCCTTGTCGTCTTTACTGGTAGTGATGCTGAATGTTTCCACTTTTGGATTTTATCTGGCCGTAGGCAGTGAACCCGGACATCACCCATTGTCACAAATAGTTGAAAGAACCTTTCTGTGTCAGCATCAAACAGAGGTAGATTATAACGAGACACGTTTTGCCAGTTTCCGTTTTTTCTTCAGACGTCAGGAGCTTTTTATCCACACTACCTGATGCCTTCGTGCCTTCTTCAATGCCATGTTTAGGTGACTCTCTACGCGGACATGCCTGCTGGGCTGGCCATGTGACACTCAGTCCGCCCAGTCGTTACAATATGTTGTAAATATACCTGGCGTTGTTGACGTGACAGGCCTTCCAGGACGTCCTCTTTTAGGTTCTCCCTGGTTACCTCTTTACGCCAAAATACAATGGCCATTCACCCTAGTGCTGTGCTCATGGATGGTTTTGGTGTTGATACCTTTTACGCAATACTTTCAATGTGAGGCTCAGAACATATCAATCGATCCTCCTATGTCTGCACTACATTAAGAGAGTATACATTACTCTGTGATAAACTGACAAACAAGTCACATTTTGTTTCATCTTATTCGAGTTGCTTGTGATCATTTCACAGACAATGACCTTAGGCGTGAGAATTACTCACTCAAGCAAATAATTCTAGCAATGTAACAGAATGGTAGCCGTCAGAATTAGGCTTCATGCATTACACATTGTACTTAGGTGAGGATTCGAACCCTGGTTTCAGCTTAACGAATGAATCAAGCTTCATCAGCGGCATTGGCAGTTATGAATGAAGAACTTGTTGAAACACCAGCGGGAGTTATGTTTGTGTCAGCTATGAGGGTTCGGCTCATACACTGGGCCTAGATTTTCGAAGCTCTCTTAGCGCTAAGATATAGTTTGGCATGAAATGCATGTGGACCCGGTTTTTTGTAAATATCTCTTCATCCAATGGCCGAATCGATCTCAAACTGTGCAAGTGGATGTTTTGTCAGACAACCTAATCACATTGTCAATCACCGATTTTATGCATTTGTATTAAAGAATCTGTCAATGTAACTGTCAACAAAATAAACAGCAGAACGTAGACGGCTTGCAGAGGGAGGGAGCCAATGGCCTGTAACAGCGGCAGTGTTGGGTCATAAAGGTCAACGGTCGTCAATGTAGGTCAGCTATGCACGTGACAGGTATGAAGAGGTGTTCATTTCTAGCAAATAGCCGGCGAATGACATCTCTGATGACCCTGACGTCAAAAGAACTTTGGATGCCTACCTTTTTGTACAAGGTTTTGTTTATTGGTTGTTGGTTTATTTTTCACAATTTTAGCACGATGTTCTTTTCATGCTAAGAGCAAAAGTTGTACGTTTCATGTAATCCGACACCTAAGTGACCTTTATAAATCGGTTTGCTACGTTTGCACTCTTTTTAAAAAAAATTCAACA